ACATAGACCCGCCAAACCAGTTCTGACATACATGTAGTCCCCTGCAGGCAATTCAAGGGGCTGAAAAGGAGAAAACAATTAGGGAATTTACAAGATGCCAGGACTTGCCAGTGTTAAAAGTGAACATGTGTAGGAGTGTGTGTTAAATGCATTGGCCCTGCTTAAAGTCAGCTGTTCCTTTTTCTTTTGTCTGCCTTTTCTCTCACACACTGGACAGCTGAGTTGAGACTGCAGAGAATGAGGGGGAGGAGGCAGCTGTCAAAACACTATGCAGATGCGCGCGCACGCACAACAGAGGAATGTGTCTCATCAACGCGCAGTGTGTGAAGGCTATATCAGCTTCACATTGAACTAAGTGCCAACAGATGGTAACCTTCCTACATCCACCGCTGTGCCAAACAAGAAGCAAGGTTTGATTATGGCACAAAATATAATTAATTTTTATAATTTGGATAGTAATTATAATTTCATTTATTTAGCATGACTACTCATTAAATTAACACTTTCCTTTGGGAGGTGTGACCATGCACAAAAGCATGAAAGGGTGCGTGGTCAATATAGTTAAAACAGGGGGTCTGACTTGGATGTTTAGTATGTCCATTTTCTTGATGAACAAAGTGCAAGTGAATTAAATACCATTTGTTTTAATTACACTTATGGTGACATTCCTAAAGCCCTTGAGGTGAGCTCCAAATTATTTTATATTTAGGAATTATAAGACATTTTAGAAGAAATTTAAATATAAATATAGCCCATTTTAATTGAAAAACAAACATAAAATAGCAAAAAAAAAACAGGTGGATGATTTGATGAGGGATACACAGGAGTCTGGCACAAAGTTCAGAGCAAAGTATTGGATGTAAAGTCCATCTTAAAAGGGCAACAGCTGGTCCCTGCCTTCCCTCCTGACAACATATAGATTGGGAAACAACAGGAAAAGACATTCTTTGGAGATCTCCACAGCAGCCAAACAGAGGCTGATTGACTGCAAACAAGGCAACCTAGGGCTGTGCGATATGACCAAAATCTCATATCCCAATATAAGACATTTCTCATCCCGATAACGATATATTTCATACAATAGTGCATTTTCTGTAAATTCTGTGAAACTCGGGCAACTCGACTTGCGTGAAGTGTTTTCATCTGGGCGTCGTTTATCTGGAGTCGAGTGTTTTGACCGATGCATGAAAGTATATATTTAGAAGTTGCAATAGCTGTCATTTTCTTTGTGAGTATTTATTACATGGCGTGCTGCGGGGAAAAGCCTGTTCTAACATTTGAGTCTAAGGTTTATTTTGAGCACCTGACCACTCTTATTTGCTTCTCATCCATAAACTCTCTTTATACACTTTCACGCGATTCTCACGTGGGTGGTAGAAGAGGTTTGTCATGTTTGAGTCTGTGGTGTTGACCGGTTTGCGGCAGAATTTGCATAGTAGTTTTCTGGTCCATGTCAGACTTTTCATAACCAAACCATGTCAATGCTACAGAGGTAGCCCCTTGCTTAGGAATAAGGTCCTCGATTTCTTTTGACTGGTCCTTCTGTTTGGAGCTACCTGGTTCTGCCTCATCTTCACTGGCCATGCTGTTATTCTCTGTATGGTGACCATCCAAACAATGAAAGAAAATATTGCCGTAAACAGTGTATTTTGCGACGCCACTAAACAAACGATAGCATGTAACATGAAACGATAGATGTTTTAATTTTGGCATCTAGTATATTTCGTTATATCGCACAGCCCTAAGGCAACCCAACCCTCAGTCATGTGGCACCAAATGCAGACTGGGTGATAGACCCTTACAGATCCAGAGACAACTATTATAGCTATAAACAGTAAAAACATTTCTACAGATTCACATTTTAAAACTTTTTACAAAATCTATTTCTTCTAGATAGATTTTGCTGAGTAATGTCCTTCTTCTAGGGCTGCATTAAACAGCACGTGATTTCGGGTGCCGGCTAAGTTGGTGAGCAGGTGACCATCTGCTTCTTACATCATACATCATTAGCAGTTTCCGAGTCCAGACACCTCTTCAGTTTCCAGACTCAAACAAACACTGCGGCATCACTGACAGTTAGAAACTCTAAATTCTTTAGTCTGAAATAATAAACAAAACACAAGCTTTGTAGTGAAAATGAATATAAAATATATAAATATATAAAATAACTATGAATAGCCTCCGATTATGTCATTTATATAATTGTTGCAAGTTCAGAAATACCAAGATACAGATTATACAAGGCAGAACAGACTTCTGATGTTGTACCAAACAGGTTCTGATTAACAATTCTCTCAACCTGAACTGAAACATTTTGTGCCTTCTTAAACAAACTTGAATGAGTTGGCAGGCTGTATGAAGTCTTCTTGTAAACTAAAATTATGCTTCAACATTGCTCACTGGGGGATCAATGAATTGCACTATTTTCTAGGCCATAAGCCACCTGCAAAGGTCTTACAAAAAGAAAAAAATGAAAACCTACAGCATCCATGTTTACTAGGTTGCAATCAAGCCCCGACTTCTTGGCACACTGCAGTTTCTCTTGGCATGTTAGGGTCTACCACTGAATGACTGTAGTGTGACACTACTGGAAAAACTGAATATGCAAGTCAAGAGGAATGTATCTAAAACCTTCCACATTTTCACCACTCTACTAATCTGTATGCAAGTTTATCTTCTGTAATTCATGATGCTGTAATTTCTGTTTAAGTGACCGTTCTCCAACATCTACAAGTCAGACATGATACTAACGCTGGTATTGGTACTGGATCCATACCATCATGACAGGATCGATACTTTACTTTTTTCCTCTAAGTACAGCATGTAGCCCACTGAATTGTGTTAAATAAATTATTTTTTAGGAAATGAAAAAATATACCTTAAACATGCACCAAAAAAAGATCTGAACGTTTTGAGTTGACTGTATATTTTATTTAAATCCATTAGCACATTTAAGGAACAGAAGATGACCCAAAGTGCTTTATAAACAGGCACATTTACCTTCCAGGTCTCAAAGAACCCCAATTTCAAAATACAGAAGCTGAAAGTTGTGTTTTGTTGTGTTAACTTATCAATGTGGAAATTGTAAATCGTAGTGATTTAGTGGTCGATTATGATTCATCCTATAAATCATTACACACTGCCCTCCCCTACATATGCTGCCTTTATAAGTTAAAATTATTGGTATTGGCAATACTGGCTCTGTATTTTTTTTGGGTATTGGATCGATACCAAAATCTGCAGTATTGCACACCAATACTAAACACAGCAACATAACCCTCCCACCAACAAGCATGTGGGAGGTGGAACACTAGTTACAACACTATTGGTAAGCATATTTGAATAATGTTTATATGGAATTAATTTGTACAAGTAATTCCTTCTAGTAGCCTATCACACTTTATTTTATGTTTTTTAATTTAGACCTACAAAAAGTCCTGTAATCTGCTGCCAATTTAGAGAAAACACAAAAGTTTATTTATTCTGACTCATTTTTTGAACAGATTTTGGAATTTCCAACAGACAAACGTCATTGATTGGTTATGGTGGCAATGACAGTTCTTACAAAGAAAATCAGTTTAAATAAACTAAAAAAAACCAAATAAATAATAGGACTTTCGTATAGCGAAGATCAGAACTAGCCAAGAAAATTGTGTGATGTTTTAAAAAGTTATTCAATTTCCCATTCTTTGAACCAAAGAAAAGCAAAAAACAACATTTGGGAAATTCCAACCATTAATCCAATCTTAATGGATTCAGAATTGCTGAGGTCTGGAGCCTATGCCAGCTGGGTGAGTATATGAAAAACCGTAAACCTTATATGTTGGAGATTTTGATCGATTCAGAACGCAAAAATGTTCGTTCATTTTTTATTTATTTTTTTTGCTACTTGGATTCAAGTAGCAGGAACTACAGTTTATCTGTGACCTATGAAGGAAACACGTGATGAGGCGGTTTACAAATTTTGTTTACAGATTGTATCCTAAAGGCTGTTAATCAATTCACTGTCAACCCTCTCACTTATACACACACACACACATTTTCTTTAGCACTCCCTGATTCAATATTTCCAATAATAACCAGAACTACAAGAACTCATTTCAAAATCTTGGCTGAGACTAAACAGAGAATCCCACATTAAAATGTGTCATGGTCTTAACCATGACACAGAGCCTTTTACAGCCTTAGTTACAGACAAATTTGCATTTCTTCTATACATTTTCAACAAAATTATTAGACTTCTCAGATGACCTGAGATGTTACCTGAGGACATGCAAACCGAAAAGCACCCACAGGCTACAGTAGGATTTGAATTAGTGACTGCTTTTTGTTCAAGTTTTTGTTGAGTATGTCCAGCAGACTAATCACAGCCCTTAAAAATGTTTAATTAACTGTTCATTATTTATTAACATCAACAGCATAATCTTCATTAGTTGAAGTAAACAACAAATAGCATTAGATTAAACCTGATATGTAAAAAGCTTTTTCTGGTGAACTAGAGCACTTTATGGCATTTGCCTGATAGAAAGCAATCGAAGGTTCTTTAACACACAAAATTAGCCATGTTGTCACTTAGCCCGACTTATGGTGAGGAGGTATACCCTGGACAGGTTGCCACTCAATCACTGGGCCATCAAAGAAAGGCAGATAGAACGAGCAATGTACTGACAATTAGCTAGGGGCTTGTCCTGCCACATAACATCCTTTAGTAGCACAATGGTTAATGGTTTTTACTTGATATTCTATCCCACCCACATACTGTCCACGGAGAGTTAACAGCGCTAATTAGCTCCCTCATGATGTTACTATTTATAATAAAAAGAGAAACAGTGAAAGATCACATTGTGAGGAGAAAGAAAGAGAGAAAACATTTATCTTGATTTGCTGTGAGTCACATAAAAACACAAGGCAAGATGATAACAACTGGGCCACAGACAGTAACGTGTCAACTGTGTGTGTGTGTGTGTGTGTGTGTGTGTGTGTGTGTGTGTGTGTGTGACCTCTGGTTCCGGTCGCCATGTCTGCCACCTTCTGAAAAGCATCCAGGAAGGCTCCGGTCACCACGATGGTCGTTCTGAAACAAACAACACGTGTTACCTGTCGTGCTGAATGTACACATAATATCATTCCATCATGCTATCATTTGTTCAGGTTTAGAAAGCAAAAGACGCCACTGCATTAACTCATCCAAGAAAAGCCCAACACACAGTGTCATGGCAACATGCGTAGGTAGACGATCAACTGGTTGCATGACATTGTAAAGAACCAACAACTCTTTAGATGGATTAAGTTAAATACCACACAAAAACCTCCTTTTTAGATTTTTACTAGCTTTAGTAAATACGCTCTACTATCGCACTGATGAGGTGTCTTGCAGAGCTTATTTGTGCTTCGGGTCTCAATCAAGTTTCAAAGAGACACAGGCTCACAATTTAATGGGCATCGTGTCCACACTTCCGTTGGATGGTAACGTTTAAAACGAAAAAAGTCTCTCACTCTCTGATGAACATTTGCATTAGGCTGGAACTGTGGTCACGCTCAGACTCACTGAGGACCACGAAGCCGCCAACGCAAACAAATTAGATGTGACGAGAAGGACAAAATCTTAAATGAGTTCACACTTGAGCAGTGTTTATCAGAAGTTCCCATTTCAGAGGGTGCACACTGGTATCAGGCATGGCTTATTTGATACAGAATCATAAACAAAGTGACTACAGCATACAGTATGTACCTTTGGGGTTTGGACAAACTGTTAAAATCTGCAACAGTGGGAATAAATAGGTCAGGTAATCAGACACATAAGTGCCACCATAAGAACTTTTTCTAAACCTGAAAGACACACACACACACAGACACAAAATCAGAAGATGCATCCCGAACAAGCCTCTGCACTACTCGAGGAAAAAAACCCCAAAAAACCCCCCCACTTTTATTATGAAAGTCAGTCTGGTGAAGATAAATGAGTCCAATCACCTGCAAAGGCCAGTGTTAGGAGTGCAACTGGAGACCTTGAGAGGCGCACATCAGCTACATCAATGGATCTTTTGTCTGTGTATGTGTGTCAATTACCAGTCAGGTCTATGCTTCTATAGCTGCGCAAGTGCATGTATGCACACACACGCACACACAGTCATTATCTCTGAAAACCAAACTAAGAAGATCATATGACACTCCTGTCTCTAGTTTGTGCATCTGACCTCAGTGGAAATTCTCTTTCATATTAAGACCAAAGAGTTCTTTCTCTCTCTCTCTCTCTCTCTCTCTCTCTCTCTCTCTCTCTCTCCCTCTCTCTCTCACACACACACACAACAATGCAGTTCACAAACAGGATAGGCTGAAGACAACAATCCAATTTACGACAACTTTTTAGAAAATATGGAAGAATAAAAGTGTAAACATTAAAAAATAAATAGTCAAATGACTCAACAAATTAATGAACTAATTACAATAATAATAATAATAATAATAATAATAATAATAATAATAATAACAGCAACAACAACAACAATAGTAAATGCTATACAAGCACTGCTCAGTGGTTATTTGATAAGCTGGAAATATAAAGCTCACATCTAAGTCCTCATGTTTTTAAATCAGATATTGGGTTTGTATCTGTGACATTATGTTTTTTCCTATACAAACTGAGACAGACTAATTTTGTTATTTAAAGATTGCATTAAACACTCTGCAGGTTAGTGCAGGATACAGGTTAGTTTGCTGTACTGTGATGGATTTAAAGTAAACAACAGTGTATTGGACTGGTGCACAGTGGCTGTGGTTTCATGGTCAGAGTTAGGTTACATCAAGTGTAGCAGAGATTGGTTTAATTTTAGTTGATGATGCTTAGATCCACTTAATGAATTCCATCTTCATACCAACTTTATACCATCTTGAAAAAAGACAGCATGAACTGGAGTCGTGTTTTCTAATGTTGTCTCAAGTGCTCTTTAAATATATATTATTAAACTATTGAAAACAATGATTAACTATACATACAAAAATGAATAATAATAATAATAATAATAATGAATAATAATAAGAATAATAAATAATAATGGATTGCATTTATATAGCGCTTTTCAAGGCACCTCAAAGCGCTTTACAATGCCACTATTCATTCACTCCACATTCACACACTGGTGGAGGCAGCTACAGTTGTAGCCACAGCTGCCCTGGGGCAGACTGACAGAAGCGAGGCTGCCATATCGCGCCATCGGCCCCTCTGGCCAAAGTGTCTTGCCCAAGGACACAACGACCAGGACAGAGAGCCCGGGGATCGAACCGGCGACCTTCCGGTTACAGATACGCTTCCCAAACCCCTGAGCCACGTTTAAATCGTATTTACCAATTTGCTGTGCCCATATGATTTTGCATGTTGTCCTATCAATGCACCAGCAGTAGACTTATAAAGGTAGGAATAAATCTGGTGCATTAACCAGAGAACATGTTAATTGGTGCACACTGTCCATAATAATATATAATAACTGAACAGAAGTAACCAACAATAATTTAATTTAATAACTTTCCAAAAACACCTAATAACAGTCCCAGCATTGACAATAATGTGTTGTAGCACATAGACACACAGTCAGACTACAAGAAACATATAATATAATTAAACACATTCTTGAAGCTCTGTATGTGCAAATATGTATTTGATCTTCTCCATCTAAATCCCTCACTGAATGAACACTCTGGTGGTGCTGCAGAAAAACACAGAGTCCCAAATACTTTAGCAAGACTGAAAACCCCACTGGAGCCTAAGAGAGGCTTCAGCTTGTCTTTTCAGCTTGTAACTGCTGCTTTAAAGTTAAACTATAGATCTACAGACCAGAGTCTGACTGTTTTGTTTGTTTTTTTTAGCTGAAATCTCTAATTAGCACAACTGCAGAAACATATTTTTTGCTATTAAAAATGGTGCAGCAATGAGCCATCACTGATAAAAGATAACAAGTCCGTTTCACTTGACATATTTATTATAACTGTAAATTCATTTGAATCTTTCATTTTTAAAGAAGTGTTATGTCATCATGTCTTTTATCAGCAAAATTTCTCTGCTAGTCAAGCTTAACAGTTCATGCATGAAAAGAGACAGGAAAAATGGAGTTAACTGTTTCATCACCCTCGATGATCAGCCTGAAAGTTAAACTTTATTTTGTCAATTCTGTACTACAAGGAAATACGTTTACGCGAATTCCAGTGAATATTTATATTTACACATATATCCTAAATGTGTGCCCAGTATGCAGAAGAGTCCAACTCTTCTGCATGCCTCTTCTGCAAAGCTATTTGTTGTCAAAACGTCCTCCTTTTGACTACGATTACAGCATTTTACCAGCTCAACTGCATCAGACAATGTTCCATTTTGAGGCCTTTGGACCTCTTGCAAATCATGACATGCCTGTATTTTGTGTTTTCATAATTCAAGCTATGAAATACTACCTGGTGAAGTTTTAGTGTTAATGAGGCTAGAAGGTATCGAGAAAAAGTGAATTAATAAACAAACAAACAAACAAACAAACAAACAAACAAACAATCTTTATTGGTGGCTGTATGAATAAATATAACTGTGAAGTTAATGTGTGAAATAAAGCTTTGTGTGTGCAAATTATCCACAGCTGATCTTTTAAGTAGCATTAAACATTAGAGCAAAGTGGATGCCCTTTATTTATGCCTGCATCTGTAGCTTTGTGTGTGCATAGCTGGCTGACTGGCAGGGCTAATGGACTGTGACTGGCTACAGCAAGCAGAGCGATGCTTATCAAAGTAAACTGGCCTACTGGTAAATTCAGCAATTATACTGTCATTAAACCAAGCCAGCTACTGGACAGAATTAGCCTGGGTCAGAACATGTGCAGCTTTCATGTAAAACGACAGAATACAACAATGACCAGTAGGGCTGTTTGATATAACGATATATATCGGATGACGATATAAAAACGTCTATCGTTTCATTTTACGCTATCGTTTGTTTCGTGGTGTCGCAAAATAAACTGTTTAAGGCAATATTTTTTCACCCTTTTGATCATGGTTTTGATGGTCACTATAGTGGCTATATTAATTTCTTAAAGTTCTCTCTTTCTCTTATATTTTATATAACCACACTACAGACGGACAAGCGCCTGTTTTTATGCGTTGTGGTTAGCAACAACGACGGTAACAGCATCGCGTGTCCGCTTGTTTATGTTCCACATAAACCTTTCACAATAAAGCTCAAGATCCTGTTGAGACTTTTCAAAATAAACTGAATCACGTGAAAGAGCAGATTATTTACGGATGAGAAGTAAAAAAGAGCCGCCAGGTGCTAAAAAATAAACCTTAGACTCAAACGTTAGAACAGGCTTTTCCCCGCAGCACGCCGTGTAATAAATACTCACAAAGAAAACGGCGGCCGTTACAACTTATGTCTAAAAATGTATAGTTTCATGCATCGGTTAAAACACTCGCTCCAACCTTTTTTGCGCCACGGACCGGTTTATGCCGACAATATTTTCACGGACCGGCCTTTAAGGTGTCGCGGGATAAATACAACAAAATAAAACTAGTACCAGTACCGAAAAAAAGAAGATTTATTCATAACACAGTGAAAGACCCAGGACATCACTGTAACATACTTACATAGGGCTGCACGATTAATCGTTAGAAAATCGCGATCTCGATTCATACTTATGTGCGATCTCATTTCCAAATGACAACGATTTATAAAAAAAAAAAAAAGACGACGACGATTGTACCGCATTTTGATCCGGGACGTAATCTGCATGAAAACAAGCGCTCACTCTTCCTGCTCAACAAATGACAAGGGCGGAGCCTTATACCACGTGATACAGAAGCTGTGCCGTGTGATGCTAAAATTAGCAGGGAAAAAACAACGGAGAGCACGTCAGGGATGACGAGAAAGTGACAGGAGAAAATCCGTCCCGGTCAACCACCCAAACATCAATAACGGGAACCTTATACAGCGCTTCCCTATACCCGTCGAACTCAGACAGAAATTACGGAGGCTATCACTTATCACCTGACCAAAGATATGGCTCCCATCAACACTGTGCAAAACGAGGGATTTAGGAAAATGATCAACACCCTAGACAAACGCTACACAGTGCCGTCCCGCAACTATTTTTCTATTGTTGCACTACCTGCTCTATACACGCAGTGTCGAGCAACGGTGGAGACGGAATTTCAAGCAGTACAACAACAAAACGTGAGACATTTGTTGTTTTTATGTTTATTTATTGTTTTTATGTTCAGTCTCAACTGTTACGAAGTTGATGTGCAGTTAATAAGTGCAATAAATATTTATACTGGAAAAGAAAATCGTGAGAGAATCGTGATCTCAATTCTAAGCCAAAAAATCGTGATTCTCATTTTATGCAAAATCGTGCAGCCCTACCTTACACTCTAAAAATCTCTTAGTCTCTTAATCTCTAAAAGCCCAAATCTCTTAGTGTTTCATCTGCGACCTAAAACTGATGTCACAACGACACAAGACAGGATGCGGTTGATTTGTCATCGTGGGCAAATATTTTCTATGGAAAAACGAACTGAAAAAACATGACTAAGTATTTGGCAACATGCCATCCAATTATAGTTCAGGGAAACTGACAATGTTCTGCTGAGTTGCAGGATGATCAACAAGATTTTCTGACTGATAAAAGATATCAAACAGTCACATTCCTATTTTAAATAGGGATGGTCATGACCTTCATATATTTAAACTATGAAGTTATTAAAAAAAATTCTGGTTCATTTAGCAATTTTTTCCCTTTTAAGATAAATAATTTCCCTTACCAATAGGGGTGGGCAGTAGAAACTGTATACGGTAGAAACGATATGAATTTGGCCAACGGTAGAGATTTTGACTATACCGCTCTACCGCGAAAGCGCATGTTGATAGTGTCATCAAGCTGCGCCTGCTTTGGTCGAAAGCATCGCAGCAGCTGCAAGCAGTATCATCTGCAAATTATGCCGTGCGACAGTAATAGTGAAGAGAGGAAGCACGTTTTGGAATTTGAAGAAAGCCAAAAACTGCGCTTGAATGTTGAATTCTCTCGCAGCTGCTCTATTCCCATGTTGTTGCAGTATATTAATAACTAACCTCGTATTGTGAATGGATTATCTCAGTTGTTGTCCTGACTGAAGTTTGGTTCGTTTACAGCATCCTGCCATGCGATTGCATTTGACCCTCGCATTAACTTTTATCGAGTGGAAAGAAGTTAGCGTTCATCCTCTAGCTTCACTGTTTATGTTATGCTAACATAGCTGTGTCACTAGCAATCACGTAGCACATCATTATATATTATATACTGAGGCTCCTGACTACGGAAGCCGTAATGCTCCGGCAATCCATCAAGTGGTGTGGCTTCGTAGTTTACCAAAGTGGTACTAAAACATTTTTGATAGATTTTTGAGGGCCGTGTTACACATAAAATCGGTTCAAGGTCAGTAAGCACAACCAGAATACATACATAAGGCACACCGGATTATAAGGCGCACTTTCGATTTTCGAGAAAATTAAAGGATTTTAATTCCACCTTTATGGTGCAGAAAATACGGCAGAAAAAATATATTGCGATATATATCATTACTGCAAATGCTTCAAATTATACCGCAATATGGATTTTAGGCCATATCGCCCAGCCCTACTTACCAACACCAAAAACAGTTTGCAAGTCACTATTAAACAACAAAAATATAACACTCTGTAGTGAGAGAATAAATAGAGGAGAAACATGCAAAACTGTTAAAACCAACATGTCACTGTGACACACTTATGACATGTTCAACAGCTTGTCTTTGATGATTTGATGAGTGGTTGAAAACAGTATCGTTGCGTGAAACGGCAATATCTGGTTTTATACAATAGGTTATGACCAAAAATTGTGATCAGTAAGGCGAGATTTTATGGGCTCAAAATGTAGTCATAAATATTTTGTACTTGTAAATCGGTTTTGTACTTGTAAAAAAGATTTGTATGTGTAAAAAAAATTTGTGGTGCGTAAAAAAGATTTGTATGTGTAAAAAAAATTGTGTGTGCGTAAAAAAGATTTGTATGTGTAAAAAAAATTTGTGCGTGGTAAAAAAGATTTGTGTGTGGACTTAGCCAAAAAAACCCTGCAAGTTACAAGTACGAATTTTGACCCTATTTTTCTTCCTTTAAGCTGATTGGTCAATGTCATGTCAATCACAAATTAAACAATCCAATCAGAGAACAGATGGGTTTGGCTGTCGGAGGGGCGCTTTTTTGAACTGCAGGTCCTTGAAGGGTAATCTCTATATAAATATCCGATAGCAGTTAGGTCCCCTTACTTTCAGCAGCTGTTGAAAGGATAAAGTTGTGGTATGTCAGTGGTTAGAAATACCATTATTACTTTAGGATTAGTTTAACACAAGTCAGGGCTGACCCGGGACCATTGCTGTGAGTCACAGTGCGCAGCATAAAAGTCCTTTCACATCGGACGCAGGATGTGCTGCTAATGCTAACTGCTAACTAAAAGCAAAGGATCCAGAATTTGTTGCTGGCTGCTGAGCTCTGTGGGTTTTTGCAGCAGCTCTACCTGTACTAGATGCACCTGCTCCTTGTCGTTTTTATCTCTGACTTTATGTGAACTACAAGAGTTTGTGGGGTTTTTTTGCTAGTTCTTCAAATGTTCAATAAAAACATGTATGCTAATTCATAACGAAGAAAGCTTTGTAATGAAGACTGTCATTTCCAAAACACTGCCCCCCCCCGCGTCCGCAGCGCTGTTGAAAAGGCTGTGGAAGTCCCTGTATTAAACACGTAGACCTGTGACACAAAAATCACCAAACTCGGACGACCACAGACTGTTTTCCTTCGTGGTGATGAAGGAAAACGCTGGGTTGGCATGTAAAAGGGCATTTATTCCCTTCAAAGACCTGCAGTTCAAAAAAAGCGCCCCTCCGACAGCCAAACCCATCTGTTCTCTGATTGGATTGTTACATTTGTGATTGACATGACATTCACCAATCAGATGAAAGGAAGAAAAATAGGGTCAAAATTCGTATTGTAACTTGCAGGGTTTTTTTGGCTAAGTCCACACACAAATCTTTTTTACACACACAAATTCTTTTTACACATACAAATCCTGATTTACAAGTACAAAATATTTATGACCACATTTTGAGCCCATACTCATCTATAGGTTAATCTGCTCTACAGGTGAAAATGTTTCATGTTAATAATGAGCTGCTGATTTAAAAACACACACAAAAAAGGGGTTAAAATGTGCCTCTTACCTGAGTTGTGACTGCAGTTTATTTCCTTTGGATACAAAGTCCTCCCATGTAGGATAACTGGCCTGCGGGGGAGAAATGAGAAGACAAATGAGAGCATTAAACCTCTGTAACACAAGTCAGGATGCAACAAGATTCCTTAAGTCTAAAAGAGATGTTAACAATATTTCTTTCACAGCCATAATCCTGAAGGAGTTGTAGCCTTAACGAAGGGAGAAAGGGGCATTATTTAGGTATTAGTATTAAACTTGCCAGACATTTGTCTGCACAGGACTGGAATGTGCAGAAAACAAATCACACAAAACTGAACAGAGACGCGTAAAGCTGAAACATTTGACCTATTTGAATCCAACAGGAGCATTCAACATCAACACTGTGAAACAAAAACTGAAAAATTACAGTCCTAAGGGGAGTTCATATTCCAACAAACTATGTTAAGAGAAAGAAAGGTGCTGCAGAAAATATGTTGTCAGTGCTTTAGCAGAGCATTACAGCTGCAGTATTAAATCCAGTGAGGATTAATGGACTCCACTTAAATGAATTTGGGATTTAATCAAAATGAAAATCAGGATGACAGAAAGAGCACAGAGGTCTGAAATGTACAAATGCGGGGGGGGGGGGGGGGGGGGCAGCATGAAGGTATTAAAGAAAGTAAAACATTTAGGTCAAATGAGATGGAAAATCTAAAAATAAATACTGAATATAAGTGAAAGGTTTGACAAAAACCTTGTTTTCTATTTTGCTGGATAATTTATTGCCAGTTTTCAGTTAACTAATGACAGATTTAAGCAATAAATGCAGCTCTTAACTGAATCCTAGGGGATCTAACATTCACATATATTTAGAGTTCTCTAACATAACAAAAAAGAACAAAGCAATTATCAGCTGTTCGGCATGTTACTTTATGCTTCTAGATGCGTGTTATGACAGGGGATGGGGATTCTGAGCCTGACAACTAATGAGCAGAAACACCCGAGTGGCGCTAAACATGAGCAAACTAATGTTCTTATGCAGATGTCACTGATTTGCCATGAAACTGCAGTTCACACTCTGAATCCATCATAATGTTCATGATGTCAGTTTTAACCTGCACTCAAAAAAAAAAAAACCCACTGAAAACATGAGAAATTCAACTGATTAATCAATTAGTTGCCTAATCCCTAAAGCTTTAAATCTCCTTACCAATTTAACACACCCTAAGGGCTCAACAAAAACAAAAGATGGCATGAACACCAGGGATCTCAATGCAAAACCTACTTCACATGACATCATCAGTGCACTAACTGCTAGCTGGAAGGCCAACATATTAAAATACCAAAGTTAGAAAAATGTTAGTAGTTTGGAGACTTGTCATGGCTACTTTTTTGTTTTGTACAAACCCCTGGCAAAAATCATGGGAGCACCAAATGTGCTTACTTGCAACAAATAAACACATCCCACATAACAGGCAAAACTAGTTTTTTGTGAAACATACTTCAAGCAAATCAAATTAGCTTAATTAATTGCATCTTTAAACATATATATCATAATCAGTTCTTTGGTCAACAGCCTGAACTGCTCGAGAAACTGACTTCTTTTTTTGAAAGGAGTTGTATAATGCATTCCAGCTCTCTTTTTGAGGCCATGCTTACTTTCGATCAGCCAGGTCCAACTGCTTGTCAAGGTTTGCAAACATGCTCTGGTAACTGATTTACATATTCAGATTTATTCGAGTATTTGTTTTAGAAATGTGTTCATTTTCCCTCTACTCTGTCTGGAAAAAAATGTAAAACTAAAAATTTAACTGAATTTGCTTCAGGGATCTTTTACAAAGCCAGAATATTCAGCTATTAAAACAGTTGTGTGTCATATCTGTGATTTATTTACAATTTAACTTTTTGTATAATTTCTTAAAATTTTTAGTTTATTTTTTT